AACTGGAGATCCTGAGGTTGCATTTGTGTTTAGTACACAGTGATACAGCAGTGCCATATAGTTAGAGCAGGAGAGAATGCTTCACCCACTGAAATGCCTCACAGATGGGGATGTAACTTACTCTGGAACTCAAGCCCTTGCTGCCTATCCATGGATGAGGGTTCCTTTACCTTGGCCTCCAGCTGGCTGCTCCTCTCCATCTTCTCATCCCCGCTGGCAGAGAGCACTTCCCCCACGGACATGATCCTGACCCACAGACTCCATACAGCAGGCCACCCTTTTGGTTTCCCAACCACGCACCTTTTGGACAGCTTTTAGCTTATTTGTTGGTGGTTTTTTTGTTTCTGACCATTCTCAGCGTGTTTCCCAAGCCTCCTCACGGGCTCTGTCTTTGCTGGTTATAATCTGGTAACTGAGCATCCCTCTTATATATCCTGTGTGTGTCTTTCCAGCCTTGGGTATATTTCATCTCACAGAAGAGCACCTTGTACAGTTACATAAAAACGTGGAGTGATACCCCGCCTCTTCCCTTAAATACCACTTCCAGTTGTATCTCCAGAGTTTGTTTCGTGGAAGCCTCTCACCCTTTTTAAAACTGCCTTCCTTTTCAGAGCTCTTGTCTTTCCTCCGAATTCTTGGAAACCTGCCTTCTTGAAGTCTAGAGTGTGGGTCTTATGGTTAGAAAGAGTCTCCACCGCGAAGACTCACCATTTTTAGTCACTTTCTAGATAAACCTCGACCTATGTCAGAAAACTGGCGTGGGTGACGCTTGAATCAGATAAGACCTTTGGTGACACACTCATCAAGCTTGCTGATGGCCTAGAGTTGACCAGTGTTTTCTCTCCCCACAGATAGAGAAGTTTTTCCCTCACATCCTTGAGAAAGAGAAGACACGCCGTGAGGGGGAGCCTTCCAGCCTCTCCCCAGAAGAGTTTGCCTTTGCCAAAGAGTGAGTAAGTGTAGGACCCGTGTTTATCCCCGGGCTCGTGAGCCTGAGCCTGGTGGGTGCGTCCCCGAGGGCCATCACAGAGCCATGGTCGTCAGTCTGACAGTCCTTCCGGTTGCGTTGTTGTCTCAGGGGTTTGAATCTGTGTGTTCCAGGTACGTGACCAACACAGAGACCTACCTAAAGAACGTTGCCCTAAAGCACATGCCTCCTAATTTGCAGAAGGTGGACCTCTTGAAGGCCGGTAAGCAGGACGCTCTCTTTCCAGACATCCCGAGGGGCCCGGGTCACAGCCCACGTGTCCTCAGGTGCCTGAGAGCAGCGTCCCCATCTCCACTCTTCTCTCTCAAACCTGGGAAGCTAAGTACACAGAAAAGCAGAAGAGGAAAAGTCCTGGGTTACAAACAAAAAGTCATTAAAAGCAGGTACGGGGGTCGTTTTGGAGTTCCTTGTTCTTCAAATTGGGGTGACTTCTGGTGGCCGCCCCTGTTAAGTGTCAGCTTGATTGTGTGTTCAGCTGTCCCTGCCGTGCTGGGCTCTTCTGAGCGAGGAAGGTACCGAGGTCCCTGCTCCCCAGGGGCGGGCCATCTCCCCTCACAGATCCAGCCGGGCCAGGCCTGTCTGCTCCTTGATGGGCGGCCTGGAGACCCTCAGTGACTCCCCTTACCTCCGGGAAGGGCTCCTGACCTTCGGGTGTGAGCAGTTGTCCGGCTGTGGGACGGGTTGCAGGACTGAGTGCGGGAGGAGGTGGGGAGGGAAGCGCCCCCCACTTCAGTTCCCTCAAAGGTCTGCTGAGCCGAGGGACTGGAGTCTGGGCAGTCACGCCAACCTCGCATCAGCCAGCGGGGGCCCCTGGTGTGTGGGCTCAAGTCCACCTCAGTCTCTCCCAGCTCGCCATGTCCATGCAGGGCCGAGTCCACTGTGTTCACAAGCTGAGTCCAGGGCAGCTGCGCCCTGGGAGTCCCTCTCCCGCCCAGCCTGTGTGGGGCTGTGAGCCCTGTGGCGGTTGGAGGGGCTCACAGGACCGGCAGGCCGTGGTTCACCTGATGCCTGGGTCTGTCCAGGCTGCTATGACGTAAGTACCACCACCCAGGGGCGCTAAAACAGCGGACGCGTCCTGTCACAGAGGGGAGGCTGGAAGTCTGGTCAGGATGCTGACAGGGTCAGTTTCCTCCAAGGCCTCTCCCCTTGGCTGGAGATGGCCGTCCCCCTGGTGTCTCTCCCTCTTCTTACAAGGACACCAGTCAGATTGGATTGAATCCTCACCCTTGCAGCTTCATCTTAATTTAATTGTCTCTTTAGAGGCACCATCTCCAAATTCATTCCCATTCTGAAGTCCTGGGTGGCTAGGGCTTCAATGTATGAACTTGGGGGGACACAACACCAGGAGCAAGCCAGACCCATGTGAGACTTGTGGGACCCTGAACTGGCCATTTTGGTGAACCTGCCCGAGGGACACAAAGGGCCCTGTCCACGTGCAGCCCAGCCACTTCTGTCTGCACTTAGGAAGAGAGAAGTGGGGCAAGGACCCCATCCCTAATCACTGCCCCACGCTGTGGATCGTACCCGCTTGATTAAAGCAGCCAAGCACCACTGGTGGGTGTGCATCGGGTCCCTGGGCTGAGTCTGAGCCACTGCCCTAGAGCTGAGCTGTATGCTGGCCGACACTTCCTTATGGTGATGTGCCGCTTGCCCTGGGTCCCCTCCAGGGACTAGACCAGGCTCCTAGGACTGGAGCTGTCAAGGGGAGGGGGTGTGGAGGGGCAGCTGGTCCTCGAGAGATTGGAGCCTTCCTTACTTAGCCTGATGTCCTAGTGCCCCCTCAGGCCCCTGGAGCACATAGACCCCGACCACTGGGTGGGGGCGGATGCACTGTAACCTAAGTGGGGCCTGCTGGCCCTGGTCAAGTTGGAGTCCCTTTGGCAGCCCCAGATCCCTGGAGCTGCCCAAGAACCCCCCTCAGACTGTCGGAGCTAGTTATCCCACAGGTGAGGGGACCGAGAGCAGTCCTACACCTGAGCTGGGCTCAGAACTGAGTGGTCCAGGAGGTCCTCTGGCCCCTGCAGGTGATGGGTCCTCCAGGTACAAGTGAATGAAGGGCCTGAGGAGGGATGGTAGCATCTTCACCTGTAATCAACCAGTGAGGGACGCTGACAGCTCAGAGCCTGTATTCTTTAGTCCGACATCAAGACCGTCACCGCCTGACCCAGTCCTCCTAATGTCCTCTCCTCTCAGGCCCCTGTGTAGAAATGCTTCCTCACCGATTTACACACTGTCCTCCTGAAACGTGGGGCATATTTCTCCCGTGGCCCGGCTCTTACCTTCCAGGCTCTGTGCACTTGAAGTCCTCAACACTTGTCGAATGTGTCAAACCGTGGTGGGAAGGACGCTGTTTCCAGAAGGAGCCAGATCTCTCCTCAGACCCCTCCCTGCAAGACACTTTCACATCTGGGGTCCCTCTCTGTTGGAGACGGTTAATCACAGCAGCTTTTCCGGATGGATCTTGTTAGCTGAGCACTTTCTGATCGCATTACTGTTTTTCTGGCAGTTCCCAAACCAGATCTGGATTCATACGTGTTTTTGAGAGTGAAAGAGCGACAGGAGAACATACTGGTGGAACCAGAAACAGACGAGCAGAGGTGAGTGGCGTCCGCATCGTGGACGTGGAGGGTGGGAAATGCCCCTCCCTCGGGGGTGGCAGCTGAGCCCTCTTCTGCAGGGACTACGTGATCGACCTGGAGGAGGGCTCACAGCACCTGATCCGATACAAGACCATCGCACCCCTGGTTGCTTCCGGAGCAGTACAGCTGATTTAAAACGGGAAGCAACTAACCCCCAACAAAGACATGGAACCTCGGAGAACGTATCTGGAAACCCCCACCCCATCACTCTGTGCCCGAGAATGGCAGACTTTTCTCAGCAGTGCGGTGGATCACTGGGACGTGAAGAGGGGCTCAGGGGAGACCCCCTCTCTTGGCACTGATTCTCTGCCTTTTAGCCAGAATTGGCAGATGGGGCCATCGCTCTTGATTCTGCAACGGGGCAAGTACGTGGAAATTTCCTGTGTGCGCCATCTCACTAAAGAAGGAAAGTGAGGCAGAGGTCATTCGTGAAAAGGCATCCCCACCTGTGATCAAGGGCCTGTTCTCGACCTGACCCGGCAGTGGTTGGGGAGTGCACTTAACCTTCCTGGGAGAAAGAATGAAATGGATTCCACCGTGGTGGCTGTCTTCTGTGATGTCACTCAGTTGTGTCAACTAGCCTTCTGGAACCTCTGCTGTTGGACTTACAGCCAAGGAGCTATTAGGTTTCAGGTCCATGGCAGAAGGAGCCTGCAGGCAGGTCCCAGCGCGCGGTCTAATGCAGCGCATCCTCCCCGCGGGGAGACCCTGTGGCCTCGCTGAGTGCCCCAGTCCGGCAGCCTCCCAGCCAGCCCTGGGCCATGGGCCATCTGCCAGCCCCGGCGGGATCCCAGCTCTCCGATACCTTGACCTCAGCGGCAGCTTTTCCTTTGTCGGCTCCCACTTCCTCAAGGAAATGGATGGAATGAATGGAAGTGAGCGGAGAGTGTCGCGGGGACACCGGAAGGAGGAGCGTGCGGACAGCATGAACCGTCTTCCCTTGAAACGCAGTGAAGAGCACCTGCCTTCCCGCCCCTCTTGCTTGGTGAAGAGGCGGCAGGTCTTCATTCCACGGTGTGGGCTGTCAGAGGATCAGTGTGATACTGCTGTTGTTTCCAGGAGAAATCACTAAGTGAAGGCAAGACAGGTTTTATTCATTAATAAAAGCTTTTCTGCTTCACATAGTGCTTGATTTTTTTTCCAGCGTGTTTTTACCCCCATCAGCCATTCATTAAACAAATGTGTATTGAGCACACTGTGCCCAGCACAGCCCAAGGCCCTGGGGCTCCCACCCAGGAGAGTCACTGTCTCTGCTCAGATGTGGTAAGTGCCTTGCAGAGAATTAGAACAGGGTGACTTTCCAGAGTGACTAGATGGGTGGGCTGAGAGGGTCTTACTGATGTCCAGGAATCTCGCTGAATTAGGCTGAGAGCTGAATAACAAGAAAGGAGCAGATGCACAGCTCAAAACAAAGGGCTTTCCCAGCAAAAAAAAAAAAGGCAGCTGGTACAAAAGCCCTGGGGCAGAAACAGTTCTGCCTGCGCTCAGTGTGGCTAGAAGTCAGCAGGCACCATGGAAAATGGTGCAGGGTGAGGTCTGAGATCATCTAACGGCTTTGTTGGCAAGGACCCCACAAGTCCTCGCAGCATCCTGAGAAGCAGGCAGGCTGGGAATAGGTAACAGATGGGAAACAGTGGGCGTTTAATGATAAATCTGAACCCAAGGAGTCCTCTTGGTCACACGTGTGCTCCTCTCACCCTTGCCTCCACTGTGGTGCGGAGCAGCCGAGCGAGGGCTGGGCTGTTACTCTAGCATCTAGAACAGTGCTTCCCAAGTCTTAATCTGCACCCCAATTGCCTTGTTAAGATGCAGGCTCCGATTCTGGATATCTGGGGTGGGGCCCAGGATTCTACATTTCTGAGGAACCCCTCTGCCATCTTCCCAGAATCCTCTAGGAATTGATTTTTCAAATGTATCTAATCAAAGAGCTCTGAAAATACTCTCATCTTGTCAAAAAAAAAAAACCCACAGTTTTTAAAAAGCAAAATCAATATTCTTTACTTATTTAACAGACTTGATTTCAAATAACTTGGCCATTTCAGAAAAATTGAATATCCCTTCCATGAACAGAAAAACAACTGAGGGTATGTACTATAGATAATGAAGGCAGTAATTTTAAAAATCTAACGTTTATCATTTATTTACTATGAATCAAACTCTTCTATGCTTTAAACAGATAAACCTGTAAGTCTACAACAACCCTATGCAAGAAAATCCTTCAGATTTTTGGGATGAGCAAAAGAGATGACCGGATATCATTTCAGTGGAGTCTTTGATCCTTGAGGTGTACGCCCATGTCTTTGAATAGGCTACTTTACAACTCTGTAGAGGTAAAAGTTACTTTACAGAAGATTGAGAATAATGCAAATATTTCCTAACTTGCTATGCAGGTGATTTCTATTCATGGCAATGCAAATGAGTTTTGTAGAGAACTAAGCCACATCCTCATCTGAACTGGTTTTAACATTTTCCCCGGTTACTATTTAATGGGAGCATTAAAGTGTAAGTTAAATAAAATCTTTGGCACATGTTCATTTTGTATCTGTCTGAGAGTCAACACTTCCTACTGCTAAATAATTTTTTTTAATTTTTGTGTATCTGTAAGGTAGGTAATGTTGATATCCCCATTTTATAGATGAGAGAACATTAATCCACTGAAGGCCACACAGCTACAAGGCTGAGGAGATGGATTCAAACCCCTGTGAGCCCAGAACTGCAATGTCTCTTCCTTACCTTGTACTGTCTCCACAAATGGAAAGAAGGGGGAGGGTAGAGCTCAGTGGTAGTGCGCATGCGTAGCAAGCGCAAGGTCCTGGGTTCAATCCCCAGTCCCTCCGTATAAATAAACAAACAAACGTAATTACCTTCCCTCCCCAAGACAAAACAAAAAAGGAAAGATGATCCAAAAACATTCCGAGCAATGATAGCTTCACGGGAGTAAGTTCAAGTCTTTGAAAAAGGCTCCTTTTGGGGGAATAACCACCACCATTGAAGTTACTTTAGAGGAGGTGGCATTTTTGTTCACGTGGAAGTATTTTTCCTGCTCTAAGCAGATCAAGTTCTGCATGCCACAGTGCCTACAAATTCTCCCGGCTTGTTAAAACGAGGAAAAACACTCAATATCAATTCAGCACACAATTACCTTATCTCCACTCCTCTTTCAGTTCTGTTTGGCTCTACTAGAGTAAAGACAAAAGTAAATGACTGCTTCTGCCCCCGAGGAATTTACGGTGAATCCTAAGAAGACTTCCTAAGTAAATCTGAAAACAGGAGATGGTTTGGCTCAGGAAAAAGAGTCTTAAATTCCAGGATTAAAAAGATGGAAAGGAAATGATTTTCTTGGGTTCAGAGCTTTGTGTACGAGAGAATGTTTTAAGCCTCTTAAGCGGGTCAGTGCTTGGGACCCAAAGTTGTTCCCAACTCAAACGTAAATTTTTAAAACCTTCTGTTATCTCCAAAACTGCAAGTTTGCTCAATTTTAACCATTTCGTTGCCTCTCTTCAAAAACTTCAATGGTTACTCATTGCCTACAGAAAAGGAAGAGGGTAAAGGAGATTAATACATGGACAGCGGACTCATTTCTCTCCACAAATTACCTTATTTAATCCTCGTAACAACCCTATAAGGTAAGCACTAGTCTCACCACCTTATCCCAGCTTCCTGATTATACTGGCCTTTCATTTTCCCTAAATGGTTTCTAATCTTTTTATACTTCGTTTTATAATCATATCTTTATTAAAATCCCAGCAATATTCTTTGGGAAATTTAAATAAGCTTTAGATAATTTCATGTTAGTAACACTGGTGCCAACAAGATAATTGGGCATGGCTGCGATCTAATTTCCAGAACAGGTCATGAAAAATAACATAGTGAACAATGGCAGGTGCCACCTCTGACTTCATTTGTTAACAAGTGTCCACTTGGCTTCGTTGGCAGGCTGCCCTCAACCTCCCGACAAGTGGGTTGGCCTTCAGTCTGAGTAAGACTGTGGTCCGCCTCCTTCATTTTGACAACAGGTCATCAACTTTGCCATCTCCTGGAATCTAAAGCTTTCTGATCCCCAGTCAACCATCACAGGTCTGCTCCTTAGTGAGCTCAGTCGCGAACAGCATGTCAACAGTTTAATAAGCAAAATGAAACAGATACCAAGGGCAGTATCATCAGTCTGTTCCTCTTAGTTTCCCAAGTTTTATTTCTGTATCAGACTTGATCCCAGAAAGCACTTTCCCTGGGCTAGTGTATGACTTCCTTGCTGTTAGCAAAGAAACATCCATGTGAGTAACGTCTTCCTGTCTCCCCAAAATTACAATGGAAGACATCGATGACATTTCCTATTTTCTTTTCTGTTTGTTTGGGGGGTTTTTTGCTTTGCTTTGTTTTAAGGGGAGAGGTAATTAGGTTTCTTTATTTATTTTAAGTGGCAGGACTGGGGATTGAGCCCAGGGCCTCGTGCATGCTAAGCACGCGCTCTACCACTGAGCTATACCCTCTCCCCTCCCATTATTTCCGTAAAAGGATCCACATGAATAAATTTTTCTCAGAATTCAGTGCAAGTAAAAGTTTGCCTCTTCAAACTTCTATGATTCATTTTATCATTTTACGAGTCATGTCCCTTCCTCCTTCTCAGCCTTCCTACCAGGGGGGCTCAGAGTCAATTACTGTATTCACTGTCTCACCACAGATTTCACCCCAGCTTCCTGGAACATGGCCCTGGATCTTAAACCATCTCTGACCTCCTTTTTTATACCTACAATTTTTCTATTTTATTTTGTCTCGATTTAAAAAGCTCCCCCAATTTGGGGGAGAATTAAGTAAAGAATAAATAATAGGAGAAACTTGGGCATGTATGAGTCACCTGGAGTTCATGGTTTTTAAGACCCATATGAGGAAGAGCCATTTCACAGAACACAAATTCCTAAGTGAGGCGCAGAAGCAAAAGTGGTAATAAAGCAAGAGTTGCAGTGACCTGTCACTCTAGAACTCTAAAAAGTGGGAATCGGTCAGGTAAATGATGCAGTAAAACCGGTAGCTGTCAAATGTAACTCCACTCAATTGGTACGTGAACAGAGAGGGTCAGACACTGTGGCATGTAACCTGCTGGTGACCTATGGGTTCAGAGGAAGGATGCTCCTGAACTTGAAACAGCATGGAGTCTACTGCGGGAGATCAACCAGAACACAAGTCACAGAATAATGTGCTTTTATAAAAGTAGGAATGAGCACGGAGTGTCATAAAAGAGCCTGGGATGGACTCCAAAGATGAAGAAATCACAACAGCTTCCCAGAAAGGGCGGTGTCTGAGCCAGGACTTGAAACACTAGAGGAGTCAGCCAGGCCAAGGAGGGGAGAGGCGATGGCTATTTTGAGTAGAAATGCCATGTGCAAGGGCACCAGCATCCGGGGTACTCCAGGGAGCTGGGCAGAGCAAGAGCATGGGATAAGAGTGGGGGTGGAGCCGGAGAACAGCCCCACATCTCACAGGGTCTCATAGGAAGCTTACAAGACACATACGACATGTAAGTCTTACTGGAGTCTGACTTCCTGTGCCAAAAATTTGGATTTTGCACTAATATGTTTGGATGCCTCTGAAGGACTTTCAGCTAAGATATGATATGATCAGATTTACATTTTAGGAATCTGAGTTGAGAGGGGAGGATACAGCTCAGTGGTAGAGTGTGCACTTAGCATGCACAAGGTCCCGAGTTCAATCCCAGGACCTCCATTAAAAATGAATAAACCTAATTACCCTCCACAAAATAAATTAAAGAAATGAAAAAAAATTCTTTAGAAAGAGAGAAATCTGACTTGCATTAGGAAAAATCCCTCTGGTGACTAGGATCAGCTTTCACACTGAAGACAATTTAAATATTGGATAAATGATAAAAAGCATTTTTCTAAAGACATCACATTGTGAATCAGCTAGTGAGGAATTATTGCACAAGATCTAGGAAAAAACAGTAGGATGGGTTAGTCCTTCGTTGCTCTGGCTCAGTGACAGTGATGGAGCAGCAGCGCTTCCAACAGCCAAATGCAGGGACCCTGAATCTGGGGTTCATAGATCGGTCAACCCAGGAGTCCGTGAACG